TGTTAATTAGCGTGGAACGAATCGCGAAATATCGAAGTTCGTGAGGCCACGCAAACCCGCCGGCGCAACAAAACGATTTTTTGACCACGGCCACCAATTCTTCGAACACCGCCGGGCGCACCGATCCAGGTGGCCATGCTTTGACTTCTGCTCGCGCAGGCACTTTTTCCAAGTTTTTCTATGTGCGAGTTTCGCGGACCTTACAAGCAAGCTACCCAACCTGCCTCCTTCCCGTGCTTTTTGGTTTTCAAGGTCACCCTCCCCCCCGCAATCTCCCCTCTCTTTCTCACAACTCCTTGCCCTTCTTTCGCAAGTCTGCTCTCCTCTCTTGATCACAACCCCTTCGCCCGTCTCCACCGCTCCGCGACGCCCGCCATGCTGGCTCAAATTAGTTTCATTTTCTGACTGGAAACGGGCCCAGAGCTTTTCCACACGTTCTGGCATGTGTGTCGCGTGTGCGCATCTTGCTCACTCTTGGTGTACCTGTGTGGTCATGATGGTTGACAGGAGGACTAGCACGCTTTTTCGTGCCGCTCAACAAAACGTCTAGAAAGTGTGACCGCTTGGCTTGAGCGTAATCCGCGCATTAGGCGCCGCATTGCGGAGCGCTTGCTCATACCTGTTGACCACCTGGCAGCCAACTTGCCGCTTCGGGCGTCCCGGTATTCAGCTGTGGAGATAGTGAACATTTCGGGGGCAGCGGTGATGGCTACTTGCGCGTGAAACTGTTTTCGCGAGGCCAACTTCGTCGACGTCGGGCCCGATGCCGAGCCTAAAGCTTCCGAACAGGACTACTGTGGTGGCGATTTGTTGCAGCGCGTCGTCGACTCCGACTTGGGAGAGTGGGTGGGACGTCTGATGCGATGGTCTAATTGCGGCTGATGATGGTGGCGATACTGTGGAACCATGCCAGGATTGGGGCATTGTGAATGAAGTACGTGGCGAGAGCAATTTGGAGGATTCGGATTGCAAGAATGACGAAACTTTGGAGCCAGTGCCTCATACAGCATGTGCCACGGGCCTCGGCGAACGGGCACCCTGCCGTTTTAAATTAACTCGAGACTGCCCTTATCGCTTCTGCTCTTCGAAACACGTGCATCACGGACTTTTTCGGTCAAAAAAGTTCAGGTTTTAACTCGCAACTTTTTTTAAAAGCTGTGTTTCATTTACTACGAACTTCGGGATACAGCGAACGAATGCCGTGTCCCGCTCAGGCTCTTTATAAGCGGGCTCGACTGTATATATATGTATATAAATAAACTGGTGAAGTGAATGCCATGCACAAAAATAGCTTGAGTTAATCCCTGCAATTGCATGATTTTGTTTTCAAAGTTGAGGCCTATTATTGTCAGCGCCATTGCTCTAAATATAAGCCACTCCACGCCTACTATATATATATATATATATATATATATATATCCTAACAGTTTTGGCTGGTGGTCCAGCCTTCTTCGGAGGACACAAGTGAAAAAAAAAAGTATAAGCAACCTCAGCAATTGCAGTTGCCACTGTTCATCTAACAAAAAATAAGATAAACTTATTGCTTGCTCTAAACAAGTCTATATTATTCATACAATTCAGTATCAGATGTAACAGCCATGAAATATATATATTTTTTTTCACTTGTATCCTCCCAAGAAGGCTAGAGCACCAGCCGAAACTGTTAGAGATAAGTAAATGAATAAATAATTGTTCTATTTCCTATATTGCAGTGCCCTAGAAGTTTATCATTTTTATTTGGTAGCCTGAAGAAGCTCTGTTCATCTATATGTATATATATATATATGTATATATATTGCTACGTAGCTATCGCATGAAGACCCAAACGTAAATTTACAAAGGAACTGCTTGCTTTCTCGTACGTGTACCAGCTTCTTTTCTTATACGTACCACCAGACCCACTGAACTTTCCCACTGAATAGGGTATTCGAATTAGCTTTGATTCGAATTTAAATTATTGAAAATATCAAAGTATTTCCAAGGAACGAATAAATGCATATTAATCTGAATGAACTGCCTGTAAAAGTGGTTTCACTGTGGTGTGGGGGTACTAAACCGTGAAAGCACCTATCGAGGAGAAATTCGCTTTTCCGCGAAGTCTCTCTTCAAATTTAAAGGGGCCCTGCAACACTTTTTGAGCGTTGTAAGAAAACGCTGCCGATCGGTAATCGAGGCTACCGAGGACACGCAAGCCAAACATTATAGTGCAGCACGCGGCGTGTGATTCACAACAATTTCTCAAAGTCATCGGAAAATCGCTCTCTCCTCTCCGCAAATGACTCCACAAGCTTAGAAAGCACACATGACGTATTTTCTTTCCTCGTGCTATCTTTCCCGGTTTAGCTTCCAGCACTTTCGTTGGTACGAGAAGAGAGAATTCACTTGCAGCGTGCAACGAATCTTTGCAATTCCGCGTGTACTGAATGGATTCTAAATATTTTTCAGGCAATAAGCTTCTTTAGTGGAATCCATTCCATGGCTCCTTGAAAAAGTGTCGCACGGCCACTTTAAATAGAAATATTACCCTCAAATCAATTCATTTTATTAAGCTTAAAAGATTGTTATGATGGCTTATATGCTCAGGGTATAATAAGTTTTAAAATGTTACATATTATAAGGGTTATGACTCGCATCCTGCCGAAAGTCAAATCCTGCTACTACTCAAAATTGTTTTTACTTCTTTTGAACGGGAAAAAAAATGCATTTGCATGAGGGCCCTATTTCAATTTTTAAAAAATATTGTACAGGTTAGTTCGGTCATAATAAATATGTTACGTTTTTTTCATGTCATATGTACTACTCGATTTCGATTCGAAATTATTCGACCAAAATCACTATTCGCTCGGAATTCGCTTCGAACCTGAAGATTACTATTCGCACAAGCTTAAAAAATCGATATACGTTAATTTAAGACATCTTCATAAATAGAACAGTGACTCTGTTACGGATTAAGTGTCATATAATTCAGCTTCATGCATTGTGGATTTTTCTTTCAGCCTGAAAGCAAGAGGCTGGTTCTGGGGGGAAAAAAAAAACGTCTGGTGCTCGGCACGCATACCAAAATTCAATTCGCTTTTTAACTAGATAGCCCTACATACTCTTCTAAATATGCAATATGTCATCACTGCAATAAATGAGATTAAAAAAACGCTGATTGGAACAAATTAGTGGGTCACTGCTGTGACAAACACCTAGCGAATTGTCTATGGCGGCTGCCCCGAGGGAGCCGCCGCCCCTCGTTTTGCCGTCCCCCCTGTCCCCCCCTTGTCGTGCTGCAGCGGGTGCAACTGCAACCGCGGCTGACGCACTCTCCCATAGAAAGCCGCTCGACGTGGCAGGCCATACCATGCGCTTTCTCATCCTGCGGCCATGGTACTGGTAGGCTCATTGACGTTTAAAAATTACAGGCAATTTTTTTGGAGCAGTATGTGACATCTCTGCAGTCCTAAGATACAAGAAACAAAACTGTACACCGCTTGTTGTTTTTCACCACCTCCACTCGTCACTGTGTTACGTATCTCACAGATTTCAATGTCACCAGCTGGGAACATCCAGATCTTAATTGGCTGACTCTGTCAAAATGTCGTTATCTCGGGTGTCCTCGCTAAGGGTTGGATTAAAAGATACGGAAGACTGTGGTGGCCACACAGACAAACTTTATCTAACGGGGAATGGAAAATTCAAGCACTCAATAACACAGCACGCACAAGCACGCAAAACTCGGCTGTACAGCAAAACGAGAACTCATTACAATCTAAGTTAGAGCCAGCTCTAGCCCTAACTAGTTTATAATTACTATGGCTTCTATACAGTTCCTCAAGGACGCTCTCTCTCAAATTGAATGTTCTGACTTTCGTGGCGGCGGTTTGGAACTACGACGAAGTTTGCCATCGTCAAAATCCTGGAATATGTCTCGCAGTCATTGTTGTTGGCCGAAGTCTGCTTGACGATCGACTTGTCTTCACTTATGACCCAGTTGTCATGGATCCCAGCAGCTTAAGCTCGCGTTTCGACATTGAACTCAAGGGACTGTCAAGTGTGTCGCAGCTGTCCTGTGAAAAAGCTGAAGAGAAGCTCCGGGGACCTGCTGTTGCCAGGTGCTGCAGGGCTGGAGAATGTATCTCTGTGACTGCCGTGACCTACGGCTGTTTCCGGCACCCTCATGGCGCCACCTTCATGTCAGGGTTGACCGAGCCTCCGCCGCAAGGGCAACGCTGTCTTCTTCAACCTTCCTCGTCGGGGCTCCACAGAACAATGCCACTTTATCTTCTGGGGGTTTTCCATTATGGCTCGGGTCACGCGCCACGGATTCTAACCAATCCAGTACGCGAGTCTCTTGCAGCTCCACCGCATTCCAGCATTTAGCACGTGCCTCGCACGGCCACTGCCAGCTGCCGCTGCACCGACTTCAAACCCGGATGAGCTGGAGCTTCTGGTGAAGGCGACTGCAGCGCTACTGTAAATTTTCCGCGCATTTTGCTTCAATTGTGCCACTTGCCTCCCGTGTCTCTTGATCTGTTCCCCCTTTTTAGTACACTCTAGCCATTATGGGAATGATCGGCTTGCCCAAGCTTTATGGCTGTTGCTTCAAATGCACTGGTGGCTCTGTTTATTGTAGCGTTTTGGCATTTTGTTTCCGATAAAAGAAAGCATCATTGTGAACTTCATGAGGTGATTTAATTTAGTGAGCCTAAAAGGTTAAAATGGTGAAGTGGAACAGCTGAGCATTTGCTTAACTTTGTTTTGTGACTAAGTGGATGCAGGTGGAGCCAAACGAAGCCGAAAGAGTGAAGTTTAGGCAAATACGTGTTACAACCATCATTCCAACGTTGGCTGAAGCGTCGCAGCACCCATAGACACTAGCGCCAGAGTTTTGTCTAGTGTTATTTAGAAAAAAAAAAGCTCTGGCGTTTGGGCAGCGTAAGAAGTGCTATGGCTAGCCAACTCAGCCCTGCCATAGCACAGCAGTGGTGCCCTATTTGAGAGTGCTTGTTCTGCAGGTTGTACTGGATGGGCAGAAAGCAACGCAGAAGGAGCTGGACACTGTCAACGTGTTACGTGCCTTGCAAGTAGCCAAGGAGAGGCGGCCTCCCACCGATGCGACAACAGCGGTAAGTCCCATGCCTGGCATTGCATTTCCTGCAACACAATGCTTATCACCTTCAGGAACTCTGCCAGCAGAAAACCTAATAATGAAATGTTAGTGAAACATTTAGACTAATGAGTTATGGTTTGAAAACTATACTGCAGCCTATTTCTGACTTCACAGCTTTTATATGGGAAGAGAAAATGGAGTAACTCAATTTTTTGATTCCACACTGGAGCCTCAGCACCTGGACTTCAGTGAGATGTTGCAGATATCTCATGATCTTTTTGATTCTTTGACTGCATAAGCATTTTCAAGCCTACTCATTGAGAAAAATGTGTGTGTCAGTCTTTTTTCATGCAAGAAGGTTGCCACAATAAAGAATAAATGCACAAAGTAAAAAAAATTCATGCTGGGATTTGACATTCCGCAGGCTAGTGTCTTTAGGGGGAGATTACCTCGGAGACGAAACTTTCTAAATTTCTATTAGATCTCGATGAAATGTGCACCACTGTATTCACTACTGTAAAATTAGCAAAACTGTTAAGGGGAGATGCGAGCAAAAAGCAAATTTTTTTCTAAAATTACATATTTTTAAGTTAAGCACACGGGCCTACAACATTTCCGCCTCCATTCGAAATGCAGCCGCCGCAGCCGGGAAACTACTCATTTGTGACATGAATCCTCAAGGTAATCTGTATTGATTTTTTAGAAAGAAAAATATGCAACTTACCGTAAGGCTCATCACATATTTTAAATTGGCATAAAAGCCTGTATGTACAGCCAAAATTTCATTGCCCCAGGCTACAGATTAACAGAGCTTCTTGGAATCGCACCTCCTCTTCAGTTTTATGAAACTGTGTTTATCAGTTCAAGAGCTATTGAGGTTTTACTGAGTCGTTGACACGTTGGCCACGTAATAGGAAACCGAAATTTATTGTGGTCATCCCTCAAACCCAGGGCACTACTAAGCCCTTTGTTTTCAATTTTCCATCCAAAAAAGTTCAGCGAGAGTTAAAATTTGATGTAGCCAGTAATACGTTCAAATCCATAAAAAATTATTTGCTTATTATAAATTAACTGCATCAGTAAAAAAAAAAGCTTGTTACACCGCAGAAAAGTGATTCTCGAACACAATTAAAGAAACTGTACACAAATATTTAGCAGAAGAAGAAGACATTCACAGGAAGGGGGTAGGCAGTCCTGTAAATGACTTGTTTTTTGTGTTCAAGCTTTTTGCTGTTAGCTATGCACTATCTCACTGAATTTCGAGTTTTGTTGAACCAAATATGAACACTTGAGATATCATCCTTCTCAACACCACATCCAGCAAAAAAAATTCTGTTCTGATAAAACGGGCCTTGAAAGTTGCCAGAATATTTCTAGGCCTACAAGCTCTCTGTAGTTTGAAATAATGCATTTTTACCCCCTTCTATTCTTCCTCCACTGCTTCTCGTGGTTTTCTTTTCTGGCTTCCTCCAAGTCGGTGTTGGATTGCCGAAGTGGATTCGACCCATTCAGTTATGCATTCTTTTGCATCACACATGTGCAGCGCTTTGCACTCAGTATACTTCGAGAGTCGCCATAATTGATGAGGCGGTGGCCAGCATGAATGAGTAAATCAGAGTTTAATGCTATTAAACAACACACATGCTGACTGAAATGGCGAAACATGTTTGAATTATCCTATCTGCAAAATTCTGCAAAAGAGCGTTAAATTAATGAACCTTTACTGTGTTGTCCTGTACTGGCTATAGGTGAAGTGAATCAAGTGTTTCCATATTGTTTATTCTGTACAGAAATTGAGCTTGAATGATGCTTGACCTTAAAAAATGTACCCGCGTTGTTCTAGCATGCTAATTTGGCCGTTAAGTGTGACTGTAGTGCTTCTCTTTTGCTGCTTTCGGAACCTGTGCGGCCTGTTGTCAAGGGCTACCTCAGCGCCAATCTGCAGCCCTCTGCCCCAGGTATTGGTCCCTCCTTTCTGCTACCCATTTAATGTGGCACATTTCAAGGTCATGGGTTTCATTCCGGACAACAGACAGTGGCCGCATTGCCATGAGGGTGCATTGTAAATTGTTAGGCTTCAGTACCCTTAATCTGCAATTATTGAGTTCCTGACGAGGGCATATTGGTAATGCTGGCATTAAAAGCTGGGCCTTTTCGTAAAAGTATGTGGGCTACTCCAAGCCTTCGCATTGTGTTCAGTACATTGTTCATTTGTGTGGTGCGCTTTCTGAGCTCAGTACAAGAGCTTTTTGGGGGGGGAGGGGTGGGGAACCAAGAGATTGTGACTTCCTAGAAAAGCCTATAGTGGTTCAAGTCAGCTTGGGCAGACAATGAAGTACAACACAGAGACACACTGCATACACAGAGACACATGCATACACAATGGTTCTGCAGGTTCTTTAGCAAACTCTGCATTTCTCCTCCTCGAGGCACTGTCAGCACTTGACCTTATGTTGAGAGTGCCTTGGTGCTACCCCTGTACAACCTCTCTGTATCACCCCCAGAATGGGTGGAGTCTTCCATTGTGACTGGAGGTGTGAAAGCTTCTTGCTGCAGAACATGACCGTTGATGTCCACAATGCACAAGCAAAGACTCTCAGCACGCTGAGTTCGTCCATACCCTGCCTCCAGTGGGCGGTGGCAGCAGCTCCCGAGCAGAATGCCTGTGATCAAAAGCTCTGTAGGTTTTATTCCTCTCTGAGTCAGTTGGATGATGGCGGTCCTACCCTCTTTGTAGGTGAGTCCTTAACTGACTCCAAAGCAACAGCTGAGGTGGACAAGACAACTTTTTGTGTATCGAGAGTACATGCAGTGGCCTGTCGCCTGCTCTCCCCCATCGAACATCTGTTTTACCATCAGGGGAGAGAACACCGTTTAGGTGGTGCCTCGCAATGGATGTCAGAAGAGGCAATTTTTTGTTCACTTGTATTGTGATGTGGGTGGTTTTTTGCATTCCTCATGATCACTGTGCTGGTTGTCATGCTGGCTCTCAAAGAGGCTTTGAGATGGCACAGCTCTGTTTGTGGTGCTCTCCACGCTATCAACGAGGGCGCATCACTGCGATGTGACTGCATGGGGCAGCGTGTGTCAGGCGAGTGCTGTGTGACAATGATGATTTTGCTTCAAGCTATAAAGATGGAGCACAAAAGAACAGATCTGATGCGTGAACAAGCAGACGCGTGACACATTGTCACAGGGTCTTGATGTTGACAAAAGCAGCAACAGATGTGTTCCAGACAAATTTTTAGGGGCGAAGCTCCTTAGGGCGTGGGCTGTGCGACCCCTGTATGTAGCCACCTCTAGTTTAGTTCTTGCAGTGTTCACTAGATGGCGGTACCGTCCCCTGTATGTAGCCACCTCTAGTTTAGTTTTTGCAGTGTTCACTAGATGGCGGTACCGTCTCCTGTATGTAGCCACCTCTCGTTTAGTTCTTGTAGTGTTTACTAGATGGTGGTACTTGTAGCTGATGATTAAAAGATGCAAGATGTTATAAACTAGAAAGCGGTACTTGTAGTTGATGAAAGACGCGAGATCTTATAAAATAGGAATGATGTCACATATGGCGCGTGTCATTGGTTGAAGGCAATCGTTCGATTTAGTGCGGCGACGTACACTAGGGGGAGCAATGTAATAAAATCGAGTGGGCAAAATGTACAGAGGATTCATGGTTTACCAGGTTTACCTCCGGAGCTTCGCCCACTCATCATCATTCACTTCGTGGATATGGCGGCACTTTTTTGTTTGGGTGAACCTGTGCTCATAAAATGAAAAGGCAATGTCCAAGCAATTTGCACTGTACAGAGATGGCGGCAAACAGAGCACCGGCCATACATAATCTGGCCAACTGTGATGCGCATCGATATATATACATGTGCTATCAATGATTCCAGCATCATCGCTAGCAGCTGCGTAAATTCCAGAACACACTCTAATTTTTGTGTAGTACACGTACAGTCGAACTCCGCTACAATGAAACTGACGGGGCGCGGAAAAAATCTGGTTAAAGCAAAAATTTTGTTGTAGTGAAATAAAAAAAATATAGCCGATCTGAACTAGCAAAACAAAGAAACGTTTATTCTCAAAATTTAAAAAGTGTCCGCTGCTTTTTATTCTATCCCAGCAGCATCACGATGCGATTCTCACCCCCATGCATAGGGAGGCCAGGGTGAAAAGCATGCTGAAAGAATGACTACAACCGCTTTCGTGAACGAACCAAACAGTTGCATTAACACGTTAACACCAGCAGTTGTCCGCCGTCAAAACGCAGAGATGGCAGCAGGGTATCGTGGAGCAGTGACTTTGCCTTACTTTATGCCATTCTTATCATTCATCCCTCGTGGCTAGCTATAATGCGGATAATGCGGACCAACAGCCACTCTGATTCGTTACCACACTGGACAAGCGCGAACAAAATGATAAGCATTGGAATTCGAAAAGGCATCGTTCCGCAGATGCACCCAGCAGATGCGCGAAGGAAACCATGAACTAAGCAAATGAGCTTCAGCTTTGGATCGTCTGCGGCTATGAAGTAAACCCAATGTTTAGCATTTTGTTGCATTTTTAGAACTGAAAATACGTTGACGAAGTCTAAAACAAGCATTGGCACCACCAGAAACCACTGCTGTTCAGCAAGCATGGGCGCCGCCATTGCTCAATAGCGATGGCAGTAAACTGCCCTGCTTTTGCCAGTCACAAAAGCAAAACAGTCTCATTGCCATCGCTATCGAGCAATGGTGGCGCCCATGCTTGCTAAACAGCGCTAGTTTTTGGTGGTGCCAACGCGTGTTTTAGACTTCGTTGATGTATTTTCAGGTTCTGAAAGTGCATCAAAATGTTAGAGTAAGTTTACTGTACAGCAACAAATATTTGAGACTCACGAACCACATCGTGAAATTACGTTAAAGCGGGACGGAAGAAAGAAAGACTATCATCTTTAAAAAAAGAGTTTGTTGTGGCGACAATATTTATGCCTTGACTTCTATAGAGTGCTGATGGGGAACCGTGAATTTTTTGTTG